ATACAATAAAAATAATATAACAACAAAACTACAATACAACATACAATAATAATAATATAACAACAAAACTACAATACAACATACAATAAAAATAATACAACAACAAAACTACAATACAACATACAATAAAAATAATATAACAACAAAACTACAATACAACATACAATAATAATAATATAACAACAAAACTACAATACAACATACAATAAAAATAATACAACAACAAAATTACAATACAACATACAATAAAAATAATACAACAAATTCCACAAAAAAACACCAAAAAAATGAAAGTAAGCTTTAAAATTTTATTTAAAGTTGATATTTCAACACATTAAGTCCATACTATATGTATGTATACATTAAATATCCCATTTAACAGTATAGGAGTATGCACGTATCATAGTACTACAGTCGACCCCCCATAACACTGTTGATTTTTCCGTTTTATATGAATTTCATGTTGTACGAGTCACAGATTTTACAAATACGTGTGCCGGGCTGTGAACGGCTCACGTATTTATAAAATCTAAGTGACTCATACAACATGGAATTCATATAAAACGGAAAAATCAACAGTGTTATAGGGGGATCGACTGGTATACAGTATTAAAAAGAATGGATGGCTTCGTAACATAGTACACTATACATGTGCATGCTCATAACACCATGCATACGATCTTAAAAGGTGTGCTTTTAGCATATACATAATACTATACAACTTGTAAATATTTTAAAATATTTTTATACAGAATTTATTAGCTTATGTTATATCAAGATCTGAAGAGGGATGGTTGGTGAGGCCTTAAAATACTTCAATTGTATCTAATAGTGTACGAAATAATTNTTATACTCTGAAAAAAGGCGTTTGTATTCCAGTTTATCAAATTGTTTTTCTTCTTCTTCTTCTTCTTCTTCTTCTTTACGTGGCTATTTGTCAAAATTTAGATTTTAATTTAGATACTGAGACGATCTTTATCATTTTTTTCAATTATTTTTTTAAATGTTATTTGTAAAGAAAGTGTGATACTTTATATAATTTTTTTTAAATTAATTTATATTCTGAATTTTCTGTGATGTTACGTTAATAATTACGTTACTATTTTATCACTAAAGAATTAAATCACGTAGAAAATAAAATCAAATCAAATTTAAAAGTATTTTTATAGTTTAAAATACAGTTTTATATTCGTTAAATTCTACAAAATGGTGGACTCCGAACGGTCATCATCATCATCATCTAAAGTTTATATTTAAATAGGAAAAACAATTTTCAATAAAAAATAATGTAATGAATACAAACAAAATAATAATGCAATAACTTTTTCTCTATCGTAGTTTGTAAATTTATTAACTTTTTTCATATATTTTCGAGTGTCAAGCTGTGTTACTATGTGCAATTTCAGTACATTTAAAAGTGTGTA